GTGATTTACCTTGCACAGAAATAAAGCACCTTTCCTTTCTCGGGTTATGCTTTCATTAGAGGAAACAAAGATAAATGGCATAACTGCTAGGAACTCCCTGAAATGGAGATTATAATATTTCTCTAGACCTAGTGTCTCAGGAGTGTTGGGAGGGTTAAAAAGGCAATGTCTGAATATGTAAAATGTAAGATAAATTCTGCTATTAGAGTAAAGAACTCCAACCTGAATGAGCTATGGACTGAAGTTATTCAGAATGGGTCTCTCACCCTCACCTACACAGCACTGTAACATTATGGCAGTTGCATGTTTGCTTCCCAAATGCGATGGTATTTCTTTTGCAAAGGCAGGAAACAGAAGTTCGTTGGGTAAGATGCCCAGCAGTTTGCTCTCTGGAATAGGGTTTCTAGTCCATTTCTTTGCTGTGCTACGTAAAACCCCAATTCCACAGTATTGTGCAGACAGACAGATCCTGGCACCCCATTGTTTTCCATGGGGTTCCCTGCGTGCACAGGGGTCTGTCCTCTGGAATGACTGCAGATTTGGGGCCTAAAAGTTGGAGCTCTTGCAATGTTCAGAGTAGAAATACGGTGCCTTTTTTAATAATGAAGATAATTGACCACAGGAACAATTTACCTCGGGATGTGCTGGATTCTCCATCACTTACAGGCTTTCAGTCAGGACTGGATCTCTTTCGAAAAAAGAGGCTCTCACTCATACAGGAGTTACGGGCTCAATGCAGAGATGATTGGCTGAGGTTCTTTGGCCTGTCCTGTTTCCACAGCAGGTCAGACTAGATGATCACAGTGGTCCCTGCTGGCCTTAACAGCTGTGAGTGTATGAAAGCTATGAGGGTCGGCAGCAACGCTTCAGTAACACATCTGTTGGGGTTCCAAATGCCTTTCTCAGTGAGAGCTTGGAAGCTCCCTCCTCTCTCCCCCTCTTTACAATGGCATCGTTGTTAGCACGAGAACCTGCTTCTCTGCAGCTTCTATCATTTGGACCAGGCTTCTTGCTCCTGTCCGTCCATCAGATGATATTTTGCATGAAAATTCCAAATCCACTCGCTCCCAGTGCCTCTCACATGTCCAACTCAATGAAAAGTTTAGTCATATAAATACAAATGAGTGTTGTGCCGAAGTGCATCGAGCAGTCTGAAATGTGTGCACAAAGTTGTCAGTCTGTCCACCACAACACACACACACATATATACACACACACAGACATTCTGTATCTAAAGTCTACCAAGGCCGCCCTACTATCACACACAGTGGATCAAATCATATCCTACCTATGGATTAAATTCCCTGCTGGTAAGAGTGCCTCTTGATCTATTGAATAATGGAGTTATTTACATAGGTGAGGTTTCCAGTGATTATAACCTGGGTGCCTAGAGATGCAGGTACTTTTGTCCCAGGAGGATCACTAGCAGAGTGGGTGCAGTGAGATATCTCCCTGGTGGGGGGTATTGCTGACAGAGAGCCGCAAGGGCTGTTGACCTCAGGACACTGAAAGCCGTACACTCTTCTGAACATGGGGTGTGCAGCCTAACCCCACGATCCCAGCTGATTTGAGTTCCCATCTCTGCTTGTCCTGGCACGTTTGCCAAGAGATATTTTCCACACAAGGAAGCAACATCTTTCAGGAAAACCCACGTGCACAAACAACAAATCCCCCAAGGTCAGAGTGACAATCAGGGGTGTCCTAGTGGGGCGACATGATGGCCCTTCCCAGCACTGGATGGGGAGAGGCGGCATGGTCCTGTTGGTGGATTACTGTGGCCACGGCAGCCACCACATTCACTCCTCGGCAGCAGACCCTGAGCTTAAGAAGAAGAACTGCGTGTGACAGCTACTGCGACCCCCTGCAGGATCTTTGGGGGCCAATGCGTTAAACCTAGGAATGGCTTCGGGATTATGGTATTCTACTCTCAGTTAAGGCGAGTCACTAAAACTGAACCATTCTAAAGAGGCCCCTGCCCCTGGAGAGGTTTCCATGCACTGGTTCAAACTGGGGTTTCCAGAGACAATCAAAGAAAGGGCTTTTGGTATAAATAGGCTGAGTTTAAACTGACACGGATTCTGATCCAGCAAACGGACAGGGCCTTCTGTCCAAGTGGGGCCCAACCTTCGCGGAAGTGTTAGAAAAACTTTGGCCTGGTAGGGACCCCATCAGACTGGTGGGTGCTTCCTGCAATGTTTAGTGTGTGCTTAAATTGTGGGTGCCAAGGAACGAGGGCGGAGGGGGAAGGGTATCAAAAGAGCAGTCAATGCTGAAACTATTCCAGAGTTTAACTATCCTTATAGTTAGAAAGTATTTCCTAATATCTAACCTAACTCTCCCCAGCTGCGGATTGCTTCATGTCCTACCTTCAGTGGCCATGGAGAACAATTGATCACCACCCTCTTTAGAACAGCCCGTAACATATTTGAAGACTGTTAGCGGGTCCCCCTCAGTCTTCTTTTCTCAAGACTAAACATGCCCAGTTTTCCACTCCCGCTTTCCTCATAGGTCAGGTTTTCTAAACCTTTTATCATTTTGGTTGCTCTCCTCTGGTCTCCAATTTGTTCATGTATTTTTTAAAGTGTGGCACCCACAACTAGACGCAGCCCCCCAGCTGGGATCTCATCAGTGCCCCGGAGAATGGAACAATTACCTCCTGGTCTTACATATCTCTTAAGACCCCCCAGAATGATATTAAGCTTTTTCAAAATAGCAGCCCGTCATTGGCTCATATTCAATTTGTGATCTACCGTAACCCTCAGATTCATTTCTGCAGTATTACCACCTCGCCAGTCATTCCCCATTATGTATTTGTGCATTTTTTTCCTTTCTTGCTGTTGCACTTTGCACTTGTCTTTACCGAGTATTATTTTGTTGATCTCAGAAAAGTTCTCCAATTTATCAAGGTGATTTTGAATTCTAATCCTGTCCTGCAAAGTGCTTGCAACCCCTCTCAGCTTGGTGTCCTCTGCAAATTTCTTAAGCATACTCTTCTCTCCATTATCCACCTCGTTAATGAAAATATTGAATAGTACTACTTTTTGAGTATGTTTTTTCAACCGGTGTTGCACCCACCTTGTAGTATTTCATCTTCACCACATTTCTTTCATTTGCTTATGCAAATGTCATGTGGGACTGTGTCAAAAGCTTTACTAAAATCAAGATATAGCACATCTACTGCTTCACCCTATCCACTGGGCCAATAACCTGACAAAGAAAGAAATTACGTTGATTTGGCATGATTAGTTCTTGACACAGCCATTTTGTCTACGACTCATCATGCTGTTCTATTCTAGGCACTTACACATGGATTGTTTAAGGGTCTGTTTGAGTAACTTTCCAGGTATCGAAGTTAGTCTGACTCTGTAATTCCTCAGGTCCTCTTTGTTCCCTTTTTTAAAGAGAGGTACCATGTTTTCCCTTCTGTAGTCCTCTGGGACCCCACCCATCCTCCATGAGTTCTGGAGGATAATCGCTACTGGTTCAAAGATTGCTTCAACTCGTTCCTTAAGTACCCTAGTGTGAATGGCGTCCAGCCTTGCCAACTTGAATACATCTAACCTATTTAAATATTTAATCTGTTTTTCCCTATTCTGGCTTGTGTTCCTTCCCCCCTTCTTGTTGAGCATCTGGTCACAATCAACTCCTTTAGTGAAGACTGATGTAAAATAGGCATCAAACTCCTCAGCCGTCTTGGTATCATCCGTTATTAGCTCTCCTTCCCTCTTACGTAGCAGACCTACACTTTCCTCCATCTTACCCTTGCTCCTAATGTATTTATAGAATCTCTTTTTATTGCCTGGTATGTCCCTCGCTAGGTGTAACTTATTTTATATCTTAGCCTTCCTGGTTTTTTCCTATGTTCTTTGGGTTGTTCTTTTCTACTCATCCGTAGCAATTTGTCCATGTTTCCACTTTATAATGTTCAGGTCACTAAAGAGTGCCCGATGCAGCCATATTGGTCTCTCACTAGGCTTCCTGTCCCTCATGACTCCAAATTCATAGGGTTTTAAGGCTAGAGCATAAGGGCGGCAGAATCAGGTTTGTTGTCAGGCCAAAGAGCTCGAGGGTTTTCAGTCTGATGGAATTTGTCCCTTTAATGACCCTGCTGTGGGATTGTGTCCCTGTGGGTTTGTGTACAGGAAAATGGGAAGGGGGCTGTGGGGTCCTCTTTCATTATCAACACCACACTGAAAGCCGTGCAAGGAGCCTGAACTCTACGGGTGTGCCTGGTTGGGAGAAACCTTGGAGCAGCCCCATCTTGTTTTTTAGGGGAAAATTCACCCCATGGCAGAGGATCTGCAAAGGGACCTGAGCACCATCAAGCCTTTAACACAGGACATTGTCAGTCCCTCCTTGCTGGAGTGTACTAAACCCTCAGAGAGTGATTTCTTTGGGGGTTATGGGGCTACCTGTGTTATAGAACCAACAGGGCAGTGGGAGTTACCCACTTTCTGGATGAAACCTGCAGTAAATCAGGGAGGCTGAGTGAGTCCAGGAAGGACATGACTGTTAACCCATTTAAGATCCTCAGTGACTGTATCCAGCTTGCGTGTGCTATTTAAACCCATTCCCTTAGGGCCCCCGAGGCCAATTTTTTGCCATCTTGTGGTGGATGAATGATAATTCCAGTTTCTAAAGCATTACATGCCCTGAGTGCTAAATTTTCCAAAGTGACCATTGATTTTGGGAGTCTCAAAACTTAGAGAGACTTTGAAGGGGCCACATTTTCGGAGGGCAGCTGCTCACACTTTCTGAAAACCCAGCCCCTTTGAGTTGTGTGTCCTGTGTCGGGCACCCATAGCTGCTAGTCACTTTTAACAAGTTGGGCCTTAGTGTCTGGATCTCTGTTGCAATAGGGCAGGCGTTGGGTCTCTTTAATGAGGATGGCGTGTGACTCCTAGTTGGGGGTGTTCATTGGCCAGTAGCACAATCAGGTGACTCACTCCGGTTCATGTCCCTAATCTCCTCCTGCAATATGGAAGAAGAGGACAACAGTATAGATTTGCAGAATGCCAATTTATTATGCAGAGGAGCCCTGGTGAGCAGCACTGAAAGAGTGGTTATGCGGTAGGCAGAAGCAGATACTCTGAAGCTGTTCAGATTGTGATAAGCCTTGCTTCCGATGGTGTTTCCAGAGGAGGGGAAATGGCGGCACAGCTGGGTCTGGAGCATCGGCTTGCTCTCATCTCCTCTCTCTCTGGATCTTGTTAGCCGATCAACTTGAGACCGGTAGCAATGATGTTCCAGCGATTTCGCTTAATAAACCTACCAGCTTTTCTCCTCCAACGTCCCCAGCGGCCGCGTGTGATGATATTAGGCTAGAGAGACAAGAGGTCAGGGTCAGAATCTCCACGCAGACTGAACCTGGCTCCTACAGCTCAGGGAATGTTACTTTGTTCTCTCTTGTGTTTCATTCGTTATTAGCAATGACTAGAGGCCCCAGCTTTGATGAGGGCTGTGGGAGTTGCTGTAACACATGCACAGTGGGAGACAGCCTCTGCCCCAAGGGGCTTACAGTTTAGATAGACAGAGAGGCAAAGGGTGAGGGGTGACAGTGTGACATGCCTGAGGTCACACAGCTGGTCAGTAGCAGAGCAGGAAGTAGAGCCCAGGTCTCCCGAGTCCCAGCCCAGTGCCCTCTCCCCTGGAGCACATGGCCTCTCCAGAGCAACAGAGAGCATCCGACCAGTGTGATTGTGGGCCTAGGTGGCTAGTGGGGGAGAGGAGTAGCCCTCAGGAGTGAGCGTTGGACCAGCGGGTGACATCGTTCTGTGGCTCTGAGGGAGGGGCAGGAGCTTGCCTGCTGAAGGAACAGGGTGCTAGGGCCGTGCCATTGAAGGCAGGATTATAGACTCAGCCCTTATCCCCTCCCCCTTTACTGTGTCTAACTCTTACGCCCACCTTGGGCAGGTCCCTGCTCTAGGGTAAGAAGGAGGGGCCATGCTGAGGCCTTTGTCTGGTGTGTGGGACCAGGGGCCATTCAGTGTCTGCATCATACGACGTTTGTAAATGTCACTGCCAGACAAAGGTAGGTGGTGAGGAGCCTCCCCAGACCCCCCTGCCCTTGCCCCGCCCCCAGGCACTGTATGGGGCTTTAGGTTTGTTACGTATCCCCGTGAGATTAGAATTTGCTCCCTGCAGTTCTGCTGGCGGCTGTAGGGTTCCATCTCCAGGCTCGTGGGGCAGGAGACCTTTGCCAACTCACTGCCAGCAGATGAGCTGGACACTTGTTCTGGGGACACTTGTGCAGTGTGAAATACCTGGCCGGGATCTCAGCAAGGGAAACCCGTAACCCTGCCTCAGCCCAGCCGTGAGCAGAGAGGAGGCCGTCTAGGCCACTCACCTCCTCAGACGCCTCCTCGCATTTGATAATGACGGAAGGGGGGTCCTGTTCAGTGGAGAAGAATCCAGAGCAGTCTTTGACCAGCTGCAAGGGAGAGAAAAGAGACCTCAGCATCTTACTGTCAGGTTTGGTCACAAGTTCAGCAGGAGGTTGGGAGGCTCAGCCTCCGGCCTGGTTTGGACATTACACTGGATCAGGACCCCATTGTGAGAGGAACTGTACAAACACAGACCAGAAACATGATCCCTGCCCTGAGGAACTTTCAATGTGAGTAGCCTTTGCTGATGTTCAATAGCACCTCACTTCACGAGCTGTCACTATGTGATCTGTGGGATTCCTTGTGTACTCCAGCTGCGTGAGAGGGGCCCGCAGAGAACAGCGTATGGGGAAATGTAGATAGAGACAAGGAGAGAATGAGCCAAAATCTACACTCAGTTGAGCCAAGCGAGGCAGGATTGCTGTTAGGGCAGAGCATGCTTACGGAACGAGAAGCGTGGGCGTGCAGTTACAGCACTGGGCACAGATTCAGGAGACCTGGGTTGAAGTCTCCTCTCTGCCACTGTCCTGGTGTGTGGCCTTGAGTGAGTCACATCACCCACCAGTGACCCGGGGATAAGAGCACTCCCTCTCGGCCAGCCTTTGCCTGTCTGGTCTATTTCGATTGTGAACACTTTGGGGCAGGGCAGGGACTGTCTGAGTTTATGCAGCACCTGACACTATGGGGCCCTGATCTCATTAGGGATGTCAAAGTGCTAGTGTACCATGAATAATATTTTACACGAGCTGCATCCCCTTCTCCTTTTGATGTCAGTGAGGGTTCCCCAGTAGAACAGTGCCCCAGCTGACAACAGCAAACCAGAGATCAACAGCCATCCAGTCCTATAATTAGGGGTTGGATGAATGGATGTATGTTGTCTGTGACATTGATGTAAGGATCAGTAAGCAGGCTACTGCAGAAAAGTCACTGGCCCATAGCCCCATTCCTTCCTTTATGTCTCTGCTGGAAACGCACATTTTCTGTGAGGCTTTGGGACCTGACAGATGCTATTGGTCAAGTTAAGGTACAGAGGGAGGTGTCTCCGTGCAGCAGGTTATCCTTACCCCATCTTCTTTGAATTCACACTGGTTGAAGTCACGTTGCTCTGATACCGGGCACACTGTCTCTTGCACAGTGAATTTCAGCGGTTGGATCGTTTTTGAAGACACGTCCTAAGAAGAATTCAATGAAAGAACAAAATAAACATTCCCTGTGAGCAGCAAGGCAGCAGGCTCAATTTTGGCCTGGTAATTATATTGATATTCTATTACAGTATTGCCCGGGTGGCAGGATTCTGACAGTGACTGCCTCGGGGCGGCGGGGCTCAGGCAGTGACTGCCCCGGGGAGGCGGGGCTCTGGCTGTCAGCCCCAGAGTGGCAGGACTCCATCTGTTCCTTTTATCCCCTCTCGCTACCGCCCGGGTGTGCACGAGCCCCATCCGCCAGCACTGACAGCCAGAGCTCTTCCAAAAAGAAAAAAAAACGCACACAGCTCACACCTCCCTTGACACATTCCCACGCCTCCCTGGCGAGGCTCTCCCCATAGTCTGAGAACCATTGCTCTGGTCTACTGCCGTAATAAGTTATTGATAATCATTCTCAGCTGTCGGCTAGGGCCTTACGTATTTCAAATGCGACTCAAACATTAATGCAGGAATGTAACTTTAGATGCCATGGTCTAGATCTGGTGCAGCTCCATTGTCATAAGGGAAGCTGATGTGTATCAGATGCAGGTCTGGCTCATGTCTCTCCACCAGTAGGTTCAGAACAAATAATTGGTATCTTGCAATTCTTCCCCCTTCTCCTGCCTTTCTCTTACACAAACACTGAGTGACTGGATTTTCTATGTGTTCTAACTCCTGAAAGATAGAAATGACATGGCCCAAGTGAGCTCATGGGATTCTAGGTCTTATTGCCTCACTGCAATTTCCATATGTAGGTTCTTGTCTTGCAGAAGTTACTTGCGTGTGCCAATGTTTGCAGGATCGGGCCCCAAGACGCCTCCTTTGGGCCTGATCAGGTACCACTCTGAGCACTCCTGTGTGGGGCTGAGCGCCCTCAACTTCCACTGACCCCACTACGACCAGAGGGGAACAAGCCTGTCATTAAACAATGGTTATTTCCCTAACTGTCAGTCCTGCAAATCGAACTTTGCTTTGAAGCTCAAGCCCTGCTTTTCCTTCTCCTGCCTCAGCACGGGAACTCAATAAACAACCCTGTTATAGTGTTTCCAGTTGGGTGCGACATCACTTGTCACTTTCAGAACCCTTGGCCCACAGCTCTGATGGCATACACAGAGGGAGCAGCTGTGCTGAGCAAGGGGAGGCCAGTTTGGGGCACACTCACTTTTCAGAGCAGTTAAAAAGGAACGTAAGCTTGAACTGAACATAAACAGTAACTCAGGCAACTTTTGCAATCAACATAGGTGTCAGTGAACAAGGGATTAATAAAAAATTACATACATTAGAGCATAGGATAGTGTATGCTTATTTTGATTGCAAGGTATTGCGCTGTGCCTCAGTTTCCCCCTCTGACATGTGGATAATAATACATCCTTTCTCCCACCCTTTGTCTTATCTATTTAGATTGTAAAGTTCTAGGCAGGAACTGTCTCTTATTATGTATTTGTACAGCACCTAGCACAATAGGGCCGTGGTCTTGGCTTGAACCTCTAATGCTGCTGGGATATAAATAATATATCAATTAGGTCCCTCCGGGAAGAATGGTGCTCAGCACTTCATTGCCACTTAATAAATAATGAAAATAAGGGATTAACAAATGTCTTTAAATTAAGTCTGTCTTCTACATACGGCTCAGTTTGAATTCTCTGTGCAAGGAGACCCAGGGAGGGCACTGAATTCAAAGAATTTCTCCTCTGAAACATTTTTAAATCTTCAGAAATCCAAGCCTTCAATAACCAATAATCAGTATTTATTTGTAAAGGCTCAGACCCCAGACAGAAAAAATAAAACAAAACAAAACAAATGTATTACTTTAAGAAAATTCAAGAATTGTAAGCCAATCCCATGATTTTTTCAGGACTGACTCATTCTCTTTGAACACTTGTGGCTGGCCACCGCCTTTGTGCCAGGCGCTGTACAAACACAGAGTAAGTTGGTCCCTGCCCCGAGTTACTCACCGTATAATTCACATGGAAACATTCTCTGCCTGCTGAATCTGAATGAACTGCTGGTGTCAGGCCCTTCCTCTGCACTGGGACCAGGAAGCTGCTGTGTGGTGATACAGGGAAACAGCTGTCTGGCTGCTCCCTGTCCCTGCACATAGTTCACTCCCTCTTTGTAACCAATTTTGGCCATGCTGCTTTCAGTGACTCCAGCTGGCTCGTCTATCAATTCCCTGTTGTGCCCCTTCCCCTAACCTCTGCCTACTTGGACTGTGAACGGGAACTGTCTTTCATGGCCCCACCAGAAATCAGCCCCGGATGATAACGAGGGTGCAAATACCAGGCTGTAGGTACAGGAGCCTAGCATCAGAGGGCAGCGATTCCCATTGACTTGCCCTATGAGCTCAAGCGGCATCGAATAGGCCACAAAGCGATTCCCCAGGTCACTCACCCAGTCTGGCTGCGGCTCAGTTTCCAGGAGCCGATAGGCCAGTGTTAAGCCTGGTTCTTGGTTGTACACCAGAACTGCAGCTAAAACCGCATCCTCGTGGGTTGGCAGAGGGGCTGATGATGGCGCGGGGGCTGCTGTGACCACCGCGACGAGCAGCAGGACTTTCAGGCAGGTCTCCATCCTGTGCCCTGTGGCGTTCAGTGAGAGCTGGGTGGGCAGCCCTGTCCCTCCCGGGGGAAGCCCTTTTATACGCTGCCTCCTCTGTATGGGTTAGTGCCTCATTGGCTGCCTGCTTCAGTCCTCCCTTAACCAGTGGCTTTTCTCCCTCCATTGGCCACCCTCTGGGGCAGGCACAGCGGGGAGGTCGGTCAGAAGAAAAGGAGGATTTTTTTCAAATAAATTGCTGAAATCGTGTGCACCAATTGCAAAACAGCCCATGGTGGGGGTGGGAGCTGTCCAGGGCCCTCTGCGTTGGGAAAGGCTGAGCTACGTGTCTTCATTCTGTTGGGCCAGATCCTCAGCTGGTATAAGTTGCCATAGCTCCAGTGGCTTTCATGGATCTACGCTGACTTACACCAAGAGAAGACCTGTCCCCTAAAGTCCAGACAACCAGAGCTTTACCCACCAGCTCTCAGTCCAGACATCACACAACAAGCATTCCCCTAGAGCCAGTCAGTAGGCCCAGGTCGTTGTGTTTGGTGGTACCACCGCTAAATCCAAGGGGAACGTACAGTGCGTCGACGATGGATAACCACACACCGGACTGCTCCTGACAGGCCAACCTGCTCTTTTGTATCCCAAGCAATGGGGCTCCCCAATGTCCAATAGGAGGACCCTGTTCCAAAGCGGGAGACATCTCGCTACCATGAAGTCTTCCTATGAGTCAGCCTAACCCAGGGCCGGCTCCAGGGTTTTGGCCGCCCCAAGCAGCCAAACAAAAAACAAAACAAAACAAAAAACCCCGCAATCGTGATCTGCGGCGGGAGGTCCTTCGCTCCGAGCAGGAGTGAGGGACCGTCCGCCGAATTGCCGCCGAACAGCTGGACGTGCCGCCCCTCTCTGAAGTGGCCGCCCCAAGCACCTGCTTGGTAAGCTGGTGCCTGGAGCCGGCCCTGGCCTGACCCATCCCTTCTTAATGGTATTCCATTGCTCCTAGTCATACCCCATAGCCCCCTTTCCAAATGTATCCCCCTCTCATGGGGTTAAGTCCTTTGTAGGCTGCTGCCATATTTTCCTTATGCTGTATTCACAGTTGGCCAATTTTCAGTGCACATGGCTGGGTCCGACCCAAGAAAAGTTGAATTAATTTTGAGAATCAGATTTCATGAGACACTGTCTCAAATGTGTTACCAAAAGCCAGTTATATCACACTGATCACTTCCTCTCCATCCCATGGTCCTGCAGTTCTGCCAAGCACAGCAACCAAACTATCAGATCTCTTCTGTGTGATTACAGCACGTTCTCTGTGTCCTCTCCTTGGGGCTCTCACAGACTTTCCCTCCTATATAAAATACAGTAAACAGTGTGGACGGTATTGCTGGCTGTGAAGTCCCCTTCATCAGGATTCTGCTGCGGGATGAGAACAGGAAGTCTCAGGATTCTTTCTTCAGCTCATTTCTGGCACATTCTGGCTGACCGTTTAGCTGCCGTTTTGTAATCCAGGCAGGGTGGTCGGGGTTTGTAACTGACAATTCCATCCCTCCCTGTGCGGTCTGTGAATTAAAGCTGGTGCTGTGTCACATAGGATTGGGTGGCAGTGCGCTTCTTCTTCAAGTGTCTTATAACACTCCCCTATTAGCTTGTCTGATCCTTGTATCTTGATAATATTTAATTTACTTATTATAATTATTGTAAAACCATAATCATAAAATCATATTTTATCCAGCTGAAATTTCCCTCTCAGCCTAGGGAGAGACTCTTGCATGTGCCCCTCTGGGGTATAGCTTGATGCAGATTTGTACTTGGTCACAGTTTGGATTTTGATGACTGAATTTGGCCATTAGTTTGCAAACTCTGTCAACTCCATGTGTGACTTCCAGCAAGTCACTTTATCTGTCTGAGGGTCAGTTCCCCATCTGTGACTAGTGATCCCACTCTTTGCCCCTATGGCCTGTTTAGATTGAACACTCATAAGGGCAATGATTCTCCTGTCCTCTGTGTGCGTACAATGCTTAGCATAATAGATCTTGGTTGGTATGTGCAGGTGCTAGTGTCATATGAAAGAAGACTGAGGATCACGGCAGTGAAGAATTCAGCTCCTAGTCTTTATCTTCTGGCTTCTATTGAATAGTGGTTGCTCTGAGAGTCCCACTGCAGCTCTGTTTCAGCCCCAAGGTTTAGCACTGCTCAGCCAAGGGGCCTGCAAACATGTGCAGTCTCCTTTTTGCAGGTGCATCTGTAACAAGATGTTGCTTTTGTATCTGTCAGATGTCTCGGTGCTTTCTCCTTGCAGCTCTCCTGCACAAATCTGATCACTGAACCCTGCTTATCCCAACACTCCTGCTTAATTGAAATTTGGGGGTTACTTGTGGTTTGCCCTGGGTTACATACACTGCAGTTGCCCTGTGTTACCAGTGTGTCTGCACTGCAGTGAAATC